CAGTAACCTCAATTTTGCATTTCCGCTTTCTGACCTAGAAACCAAAAATTAATAGAACCCTCTTGATTAAACCGAATAAGTAGAGCTTGGTGTTAGTCGAAGAGACATATGAGACATGCGGAAGGCTATCTAACAGGTTGAGTTATTCCTTTTTTCTCAAGTTTGACGGCAATTCCAATTTCATTGTGAGCATGGCAGAGCTAAGGGAGAACCTGGGAGGAGCTGGTCAGAGTTCGTCATTGGCCAACCTCGAGGTCTGGGTGAACGTGACGGTGTACAATTGGTTCGAGTTGAACTCACGATCAGGCTGGGCCTATACCAAAATCTATTCGTCCAATGCAATCATCAAGTTCCTTGGAGGCTTGGTTCGCCCCTTCAAGTCGAAGATGACATTTAGAGCATATGTAAGTCAGTATTTATCAAAAAATTCACAAAACTAATAAAAAGGTGTTCCTCAGTTCCTTGTGACGACTAGAGAAGAAGGTTTGACATCTCTTTTAGACAAGAGCTCATTGCATGTGATCTTTTGTCCTTCTGCTTTACATTTGTCAAATGCTATACATTGGAATACATTCCTGCGCTTATATATTGTCTCTTATTCATTTATAAAGCAAAATCTGATTTTTATACTTCCCTGAATCGTACATATCTATAGTTATGATTAGCAGAAACAATATGAAGCCGTCTACTCTATATTTTAACTTGGCATTTAGCTTTAGCTTGAATAAATCTGCGGAACTATGTTGACTTAGAAAAATCGAGATTATACTGATGCACCCAACTTGCAATAAATGGAAGCCTAAATGACCTTAACCTGTATGCTGCAGTAGATCTCATTACGCCAGCCTTCTCAGAGGGAGTCGAACTTTGTCATTAGAACCCCGGTGATAGCGCCATTGCCTTATAATGTTGGTAGTATCATTGAGATAAACAGCTTATTGAAAAACATAGTATTGCACGTCACTATCTTCTTTATTTCATTGCTTCCACACCATGGCATCTGGTTAACAAATCACAAATTTTAATCTCTCCTCTATACGTTTTTTTATAATAGAAGGCTTTCAATAAAGAGGAAATATATACTAATGTGCTTGCAATTTTACCAAAATAAATTACTCAGAACGCACCTAAGCGAGCCCAGAGCCATAGACTGAGCAATTAACTTCCATTTATGGACCGTACTCTTCTGTCCCACACAAGGTTGGTATATCCTAAACCCGCCTCGCCCCCACCTTAGCATTGTCCTCAAGTTCGCCGTAATTAGGCACCAGAGAGAGATAGAGAAACCAGATAGTTGTCGATTAAATTAATTAATCTGTTTTCCTTCCAAAGGGCTCATACAACTGAAATTCTGATTATAAAGAGCAGATCATACTTTGTCCCTTTTTACTCCATTCAGATGGTCATCTACATGCCTGACGGGACTCAGATAAAGTTTACTGGGAATAGACGCGTAGACCTTTACTTCTACTGCAACGACAATGATTTCATCAATAAAGTCTCCATGGTTGTCCCCAGTGACAGTGTCATCACATACCCGTTTCAACCGGACGGAGACAAGTGCCCACTTTACAAATTACAGGTAATGCACCAACTCCGAGGTGCCTTATTTGATGGGCACATTTGGTACAGCCCTTTGGTTCATTTGCGATTGCGATATTCACCACGAATAATTGAGGAGCTGGCTTGATGTGGTAGTGGAATCATCTAAGCCAACAAATTGACCATTTCGGATCTATTTCGGTGTGAATATGGGAGCAAAAGAAAGCTTTCAGTTCGATATTAGACTGTATAACGACTTACTAATAACTTAATAAAATAAGTAGTCTAATTATAAAGCAAAAATATTCTCTAATTAGTTTCCCACAATATGTTCAAATTTTTTAGGCACACTTTTGAAAAGGTACAATTTAATTATAGATTAAGAATTTTGGTCTCGAAACATACTTACACGTATTAAGCTGTAGAAGGTAGTGCACGCTT